GTGAATCAAGCCGTCCCTCGTGTTGGGTGGTTTTATCCCGCCTGACAGACGTGGGGTAAGATGTTGGGCAGGTAAAACGCCAGCTTCTTCATGCTCTGTTGGAAAACGTGGAGCCAAACCAGTAGCTTTGCTCTTGCGAGCAGAGGGGTGCCCGCCTTCTTCCCCTCTGATCCAAGTTGAGGGGGGATAAATTGCTCTGATTAAGACACGAGACCATCTTAATCGAGTAGTCCTGTCCTAGACCCCTCCTGGTGGTTCAGAGCTGCTGGAGGAGGCTGTCGGGTGGGCAGAAAGCACCAGGGGCTGTTGGGCAGTGCTGCTGCCTGTGCCGCTCCTTGTCCCTCTCACGGCCTTTTCCAGCTGGAGGGTATGTCCAGGGGACGACGAGAAAACTGCAGGGACCAAAATGACATCCCAGCTGGCACGTGCCAGCCGCTCTCTGCTCCCCCCATCCTCTACTCAAGCCTCTTGTGGACGTTTGGATCTGGGTTACGGTGCCGGGAGCAAACATCGGGGGTGGCTGTGACGGCAGCAGAGGTAGGGGGAGTGGCAGAGGAGTTTTTGAGCGTCATTCCTCCCCTGAACTTCCACTTGCACAGGCGCAACAGCAGGAAAGCCTGGATGGGAGAGGGGCAGTGTCCTTCTTAGATGATTGTGACCAAATCTCTTCATCGTTTTGTGCCTCAGTTTCCTCTTTGTAAGAGGTAATACCTCCTCTCTCCTCCCCTTCACTGTTTTTGATATATGCTGTCCTGGATAGAGTTTCCCTTCGACTCTGAAGGCTGCGGGAGACATCATTTTTGACAAACAAATAGTTCAATATATAACTATGAGCTCTTGCTTAGCTTTCCCTCGTTAAGCCTTTTTCCTAAGGCCTGATGATGATGACTGCCTGCTTCCTGTTAAGTCATCTTATTCTTGGAAAAAGTAAAGCTGGAATGGTCTTGAAGATGATCGAGTCCACCCAGGGCAGGATCGGCAATACAACCGGCTCCACGAGCAACAGGCCATTTAGTGCAAACCCTTGAGTTCAGGGGTGTTTGTCCTGACTCCCTGGGAGCCCTGTTAGGTCTGGCTCAGGTCCGTGCAGCTCTGACTCTTTGTTTCTCATGTCCTGGTCTCGGTCTTGGTCCTACAGTGTGTTGTGTTGGCTCACAAGCGTCTCTGTTTTGCATCCCAAATATTCAACAGGCTGCTTGTGGGTCAAGCTGCTCCCATCTGCTCCCGTTTGAGCTGGATTCTTTCTTTTGACTCACGCCTTCCCTTTCTAAAGGTAGCTCAGAGTGCGTGCAGCTCCTCATTGACGTCGGTGCCAACTTGGAGGCCCATGACTGCCATTTCGGGACGCCCCTACACGTGGCCTGTGCCAGGGAGCATCTGGACTGTGCAAAGTTGCTGCTCAAGGCAGGTATGCCAGCCACGGCGGGGGGGCTTCTCGGGTGGTGTCTGTGCGCAGTGTCTCCCTCGGTGCTCTGCAGCGGCGTTCTTGTCGAAGAGCTGCTTCGTTCACGGCGTAATATAGATGACAAAGGTGAAAAGTTTGGCCTTTACCTGAGCAAAGCTTAATGCTTGAGTGTTTTCCCAGCGTCTGCCTGTCGATATCTGGTTTGTGATGTCCTCAGTGACATCCCCATTCTCTTATTTTAATAAAATTCAGAACTCTTCAGCCCCCTAGAGCAAAGTTTCTTTAGTTTTTTAATGATTTCATTCTGAAAGTGGTGTCAACGAGCGTGCAGGCCTTCAGCTTTGGCAGCACAGTCGTGTGGCTTTGGGTGGGTGTCAGGGAGAGATGTTAGGGTTTGATGTTGTACGGAAAACCAGAGATGACGTCACTTCATACCTCAGGGACACCTGGTGAGTGTTACGCCCAGATGAGTTTGCTGGATGTTCAAGTCGATGTTCTGTGCTCCAGGTTTCACATCCCAGTTTTCTTGCTGCTGACTTTGGGGGAGTTGGGAGTTGGACTTCTTGTCTTTGCCCGTGCTTACCAGGAGGAGATTTGGCTCAGGGCGGGTGGGATTTGTTTCACTGAACATTAGTTGTCTAAATATTACACATCTAAGCTAGTTTTGTTTCCAACCGCTCCGGCTCCCCGTTTTGGGCATCCATTAACCCATTCCCCAGAAATACCTGTTTCTCCTCATTAACTGTAAGGGGAGCTCAGTGTGGCCACACATACCTAGAAGTCAGTTGCTTGAGTTCAGTGAGGTTCATCTCACCTCTGCTGAACAAATCTCTTGATAAAATGCAAGTGTTGGTGGCGGGGTTGGAAGGACCTTTTGCTATAAGCTCGTAAAAGCCAAACTTCCTCGGCCAAAATCTCTGTAACTAAAACTTGATCCTGCAGTAGAGCTGCGACATCTCATGGGTCTGGGGTATTTCTGCTAAACAAAGTGGCCACTGTTTGTCTTGAGTGGAAATAGTCCTTTGAGGTGACTGGGAATGGCTCTTTGCTGGCTTTGGACAGCACAGACTCAGGAAGCGATTCTGAACTTCACACTCAGCAGCTTATTTACCCGGTAACATGGACTCAAATCCTTCCTCTGCAAGGAAAACATAAAGCCAGCGAAGAAAAGTCACGCCTTGCCAGCACCGAGAACTTGTTCAGCAGTTTGGTTTCCTGTTTGTGCTGGTTTGGTTGGAGCTTGTTCCAGCTGCTCGTGCGTGTTTGAGCAGCGGGGGTTTTTTACCCTCCAGTCAAACCACTCCTTACGTTTGGGTCAAGTAAGGCTTTCGGGAACAGGTTTGTTTTTCTTTCTGGCCTCAGGGGCAAACGTGAACGCTGCTAAACTTCACGAGACAGCCCTCCACCACGCAGCGAAAGTGAAGAACGTAGATCTGGTGGAGATGCTGATTGAATTTGGAGGAAACATTTACGCAAGGGACAACCGAGGGAAGAAGCCGTCGGATTACACCTGGAGCAGCAGTCCCACAGCAAAGTGCTTTGAGTACTACGAAAGTAAGTGAGATACGATCCCCTGCCCTAGGAGTACAGTGACTGCCGGCTCTGTTGCACCGGATTCTCAGTCCACCTTGATCTGTAAATCCCTGATCATCTTCCTGGGAAGGTGTGGAGTTCTTGGTGGCAAATGTATGTCACTTGGCCATAGGCTAGCTTGGCTTGATTGTCGTTGAATAGAGGGGTAAGATGGCCCAAATCAGGCCCTCGCTGAATTCGGGACCATCTCGCGTGTCAGCATCAGCGTTTATGCTTTGATGCATTCAGTCAGGGCAAGGAAATCGCCCAGTTGAAAGCTCATTTTATTTGGGGCAGGGAACAAGTTAAACTTTAGCTGTCTGGTTTTGAAGGAGGCATTTGACTGAGGTTTGAGGGTGGCTTTAAGCCAGTTTTTGTCTCGTTGACCCTTAAAGCACCTCAGAGGAGTAATTCACAGACCCTTCGGAGCATTTGCAGGCCGCTGCTGCACGAGATGATCCTAAACATCATAGAATCACAGGATTGTAGAATGGTTTGGGTTGGAAGGGACCTTAAAGATCATAACTAGTCCAACCCCCCTGCCGTGGGCAGGGACATCTTTAGCTAGATCAGGTTGCTCAGAGCCCCGTCCCTCCTGACCTTGAGTACTCCCAGTGATGGGGCATCCACAGCTTCTCTGGGCAACCTGTTTCAGCATCTCACCACCTTCATCGTTAAAAAACGCTTCCTTATAGAAAGAAATATTTTTTTCCTGGCTTTGCAGTCCTTTGTTGGCGAGCACCTTCTAACTCCTGCTCCCCCTGGTTTCTCTTCTCCCTCTAGCAGCGTCTCCTCCAAGTTATTCATTGCTGTCTTTTCTCAGAGAGCAGTGAAGTGTGCTGCTCTGGCTGCAGCTGAGCTGGCTGAAGAGGTTGAATCCTACATGCCCATAAATACTCCTTATATCTTGCCAGAATTTATTGCCCCTTAAGCCCAGCTGGCAGAACTGC